GTGGGGGGGGGACAGAGAATATGTGGGATGGGGGGCGGGAGGGAAAAGGGCTCCCCGGGAGAAAAAAGCGGGGGGGGGGGAAATGGGGGGGGGGAGAAAAGCAGTGAGTCTTTATAGGCAATGAGGGGGGAAACCCCAGAGCTGTAGCCCAGAATAAAAACTAAGCTTTGATGAGACTGATAACCCCACAATGCCCCAGAGTCTCCTACTAAGCATTACTGTGGGGCATTGTGGGAAGTTTAAAGGGGTAGCTTTCCAGGGGCTAGGAACCAGTGTAGCTGGTAATAGTCCCTCCTATCAGGGGCATTGGAGGGAGGGCGGGTGTAAAAAAAAATGAAGATGGTGTTCAGGATTTCATAACTGACACGTTAAAAAGGGGGGGGGGACAGGGCTTTGATTGTGCCTCTGGGGTGTCATCTTGACTTTTTTACCTCTCCTGCAGATGCTGCTGCCTCCGACAGCCCTTGGATGATGAACTATCTAGAAACGTTTAGACCCGGTGTTGAATTATACGATTTCTAGCTCGTTTTGTGATTTTGAGCATTTATAGACAAGCTTGAGGCTAAAGCTATGGGTAGACACCAACCTAACCCACAAAGTAATTGGTTTGGTTTGGGCTTAGCAAGTCATGGTGGGTTTTAAATTATGGTTCTCGGTTAGCACATTTTGTGAATCCAGCCAATTATAGTTTATTCAATAACTCGTGCTTATGGGAGCCATTTAGCGGGGGTGTGAGCTAAATCCATACCATCGAACAGAATGAAGTTGAAATGGAGGATGGGGTAGCTTGGATTGTAGGTGGGAAATGGCCTTTTTAATGGCCTTTTAAAGTAAAATAGAAATCCAGGATCTTGGGTCAAAACGTTCTAGCCTAGCTCTCTGCCTGTCATGCTAGTTTTCTACTTGCAGGGAATTGTGGTACATGTGATTGAAGTACAGAGGAATTTTAAAATTTTTAAAAAGTCTGTTCTGCCACTTTATCAGAAGCAGTCTGGAAGCACCCTTTCTGATGAATGAATTCTCTTAAAACATTGTTTTTCCAGCTTGGGAACTTTAAGATGTGTGGGCTTCAGCTCCCAGAATTCCCCTACCAGCATCTTAAAATTGCCACGTTTGAAAAACACTGTCTTAAAAGATACAAACGTCCACGAGCTGCAGTCTGTAAGAGCTTATGCCTTTTAATAACATTGGTTAGTCAGAAAAAGCACACTCGGACTTCTTCTGACCTTTTGCCACCGTAAACTAACATGGCTCTCCTCCTACAGCGTCTTCGGCCAGTTTACTTTATCACCTGATGTTGCAGTAAGGCAGATCAAGGGCCGTGAAGGAGGTGGGAGGAGAATACCCGGTGCAGTGGGGTTTGGAAGGAGGGGGGGGCATTCATTGGGTGGAACAGCAGCCATTGATGAGTCCAAGAAGACCTGCAAGGGGGTCTCCAGGCTTTCTTCCCCACTGTTGGGTAAGAGCGGAATTAAGCCAGGCAGAAAAGTGATTACTGGGGGCTTTGATTGGGTTCCCCCATTCTCTTCTCTGAAATAACTGCACAGTAATTAGTTTCACAATTTTGCTGCTATACTTTATAATAGCCTCCATTAAAGTTATGGGTTTTTTAAGGCAGTAATGGCTTACAGAGTAATTAATGAGGATGAGCTTTATTGCTACTTTTATTTTGGGGAGTTTCGCCCATTCCCCCCCCCTCATTCACACATACACACACACACACACACACACACACACACACACACTGTTTGCCAAACTTTCTTCCTCCAACTGAAAATTCTTAGCGCCTTTCCTGTAACATTAAGTTTCCCTCTCCCACTAACAGCCCCCCAAAATGGTAGCTTATGAAAGGGTGAACAGGGAGACGTTTTTCTCCCCCTCCCATAATACTAGAACTAGACACCTGCCAATGAAATGGGCTAGTAGAAGATTTAAACCTGACAGAAGGAAATATTTCTTCACACAGCATGAAATCCATATGTGCAATTTGCTGCCCCGAGATTTGGTGTTGGTGACTAGGTTAGATAGCTGCAAAAGAGGACTAAGCCAGTGTTTCTCAACTTTGGCAATTTTAAGATTGCGGGGGGGGGGGGAGTGCTTCTTCAGTAGAAGGACTATTGTCCTTGCTTAGAGGAAGTCTGACCTTCCCCTGGAGAAATTCACTGAGTTTCTCAGCCCACCAGTTTGGTGAAGAATTTTGCAAGATCCTTCGTGCCTAGCTCTATAATAAGCATCTTACTCTTCTGAAGAACAAACAAAAAATCCAGACTATCCCTGATTTAAAAAGGGACACTTTGAATGGATACTAGTGGGCAACGCTGGCCTTTACAGACCCCTAGTGTGTGACTGTGCATGCTTTTTCACTGTTTTTCTACACTTATCACAGCAGATGGAAGCACCTGGGTGACCTGGTTTGATCTCGGAAGCTAAGCAGGGATAGGTCTGGGTACAATCTGGATGGGGAATAGTCAGGAATACCAGATTCATAGATTGGACTGGGAAGTCCAGTTAAGAAAGAAAGAATCCCATAAGAAGCCACAGCAAACCACTTTGATATTATTGCTGGCAAAACTACATGGGTGCCTCCGTGAATTAACCAGGAGTGAAGCTTGACTTTTCCCCTCATCCCGGCCATGTTTTTCACTGAAATCAAAGCTATCCCTGAAGCTGTTTCCTGGCCTCTGGATAATGACCCTGTGCCCCACCCATAAACATTGCCCCTCATTGCCTGTGCTGCAGCGTTTCAATCAGCCCGTCAACGTCTCTTTCTTTGTCCCTGAGTGAGCAAGCTGAATGGCTTTCTCCTGTCTGCAAATTATCCACCCCGTACATCGCCATCTAAGTGATGTACACCGCTTGCCAAGATAACCCCTTGATAAAATATGGCCTGCTTAAATCTTGCCTGGGTTCCCATTAGAATCCGAGCTAAATACAGTATATTAAGCTGTGTGTCAGCTTAATATACTCCCAGCCTTGGACATTTTGGGAAGGAGAAGCAGGAGGAGGTGGGAAAGAGATAGCGTGCAATCTGGGGACAATCTAAGATTTCTTCTGGTGGATATCTTTTCCTCAGTATAAATGTGGAATGAACGTGGAACCCGTCCATCCTTTGCCGCCTTCCCATTTTTGCTTTGCTTTGCAGGCCTCCTTCCAAAAGGGATCCTGAAGTCCTGGCCAGTGAAATCACTCAGAGAGGCATCTTCCCTGCTGGGGACAACTTGGCCCCTCCCTGGTGGAAGCTGCTGCCTCTGCAAACCTGCTTGTGCAATGGGTGGGTTGTGAGCGCTGGTAAGACCCTCTGAGCCCCACGGCCTTTGCGACTGCCTTCTGATCCCTTCTTGCCAGTTGATCTCCATGTGCTCTCCTGTTCTGTCTTTGGGGTTTCTGCTGTCAGGTAATGAGGAGCTGTGGGTCCCATCAGCCTTGGAGATGCCGAAACGACGAGACATCTTGGCGATTGTGCTGATTGTGCTTCCCTGGACGCTGCTTATCACCGTTTGGCATCAGAGCGCCATTGCTCCCCTGCTTGCAGTGCATAAGGGTGAGGAGAAAGCAATAGGCCAGGCCAGCTCTGACCATCATTGGCCCCATCACCCACCACCACCACCACCACCACCACCACAAATCATCCTCATCCTTCCACTGTTGTGCTCATTTCACCACCCTTCCCTTCCAGGATTCTGAACCCAAAGCATCTTAGAGATCTTTGAGCTTGTTTCTTGTTTAGTTTACAAACAAGGACAAACTGAATACTGAAATTTCCTTATTGGCCATGATCAAAGATCCATCTTCCCCAAGAGAATGTGGCTGATGAAGAACTTTCTGCAAGCTCCGTAGGAGTTCGGCTATGGTTCTTCAAGAGTTAAGCTGAATGGAATGCCACCTTCCCATTCTAGATCTCTTGGAAGGTTTCATATCCTCTCCAAGAGTTCTGAGATGATTCCTTGCCCAGAAGAAGAGACAAGACTTTTATTGAAATTTCCAGCCAGCTATCCATTGAACTTATGAAAACCCGTAAAAATACAATGTTACTCCTTTTTTTGTTTGTTTGTTTTACTATGCCCAGTGCATATTCAAAGGTACAACACTCCTTTCCATGAAGATTCTAAGCAGTTCCATGGTGATAATTTTCTCTGGATCAGCTTAATGGGTGTCCAGTATTCTATTTCCTAACATGGCCAGCCCTGCAAGCTTCCAAACAGGCTGCAGAGGAGTTTAGCATCATAAACAAACCAACAAACAAAACATTTAAGGCTCGGTGCAAAGAAACTTGCCATCACTTCCCTAACTATGTTGTATTTCCATGTGGTCCTCTTGCTAACAAGCTGCGGATAGGCCGGGTTTACACATTGTGCTAAGCCATAATATGGTTTGTTTAGTGAGATGTGTGAATACAGCCAATTGTAGCTTCTTCAACAAACCATGGTTAACCAAACCATAGCATAGCACAGGCGACCAGTGTAATGTATGACACTGGTCATACACGTTTTCTCCATCATATCCTGTTCTCTTGTGGATCAGGTTTACAGTTCCATCTTGCCTTATATCCTTTTTCCAACTGCTAGCAGATAACCATGGGCCAAGGAGGTACAAAAATAATGCCTGCCTTCCTCTGAAGTATTTGATGCAAGTATTCAAATATTTCATACTCAGGCCCTACTCAGGCCCTACTCAGGCCCAAGTATTTGATATTCAGCCCCTACTCAGTAATCTTCCATTAATGACAATGGACTTGAGCTTGTGCCTCCCAAGTCCTATGCCAACACCTTAACCCAGTGTTTCTCAGTCTTGACCATTTTAAGATGTGTGGACTTCAACTCCCAGCTGGGGGATTCTGGGAGTTAAGTCCACACATCTTAAACTTGCCAAAGGTGAGAAACACTGCCTTAACCAGTACAGCACACTAAGCATGAAGACGATAGAAGTCAGGAAAAAAAAAGCCTTATAGCATACCTTACAAAAGTACAAATTTTGTACAGGAGCAGGCGAAGCTTGGCAAATAAACCCCAAGGAAGTAATAATATTCAGGTGTAGAACTGTTCTCTTGGAACCCCGTGGAGCTATTTCTTTGTCTTTCTTGATTATGTTGAATCAAAATTGGTAGGGTTACCGAGGTTCAGATCAAAAGAGTTCCATGAATCATTTCATCATTTCTGTTAATGTACATTGGAAGGAACAAATGTATTGCCTGTGTGTGCTTTTTAAAAATCTTTTGACCTTTAAAAATGAATAGACTTGCTGGGCTATTATACACTCAACTTTTATGAATAACCTTTCAATTTGGGTGTGTCACATGTTAGCTAATTCTTTGCAAATACAAGGATGTTCCAATCTTGTCATTCTTCCACTTCTTCCTTGAAGGATTATAAATGATAATGATGATGACAATGATGATGAATATGGGTATTGTAATTATTAAATATTCTAAAGTAACTGTTCCACAGATTTCATAATTTCTGGAATAGATGGGTCCTTGGCTCTGAGTCGCTTAGAAACTTGAACTGATAATGTATTCTGCTTGCTACCTTTTTGCTAAGATATTTATCTCACATTAGCTTTTGCAGCAATGGTCTGATATATGAAGTCCATTTTCCCCCATATTTTTCTTTTATCGCTTATGCTGACCATTACTTCTAAAGCATTAATTAAGGGATGTTCCACTACACCAGGGGTGGTCAATTGTTTTGGTCCTGAGAAATGCTGGCTGGAGGCCACACATCGTTAAATGTTACCATCATGGCTCAAAGCCAAGAAGTCTCCGAAATTAGGCTTCTAGTCTCAGCAGCTCTGAAGAGGCATCATTGCTAACTTCAGGTCCTGGACTGGAGATACCACATATAGACTCTATTTTCCCCAGCAGATGCCACTGCTTTCTGACTCCAACAGGTGAAGCAGAACCATCTCACTAATCAACAGGAAAGCCCTAGGGAACATTTCCCTACCTGTCTCTTTTACAATCAGCTGCAACACTTTGGGGAAGGTGAGACCTTCCAAGAAGTCCATGCTAGTTTGATCATTAAATCCAGCCACTTGTTCTAGTCTTGTACTGCACTATTCTATAAACTAGCTAGAACATCGCTCTCCATGGTCCTGAAGTCAAAATGTTTAGCTTGGTACCTAGAACTTTGTATTATCCCTTGTCCTAGGCCTATTCCAACTTTTTAAAAATCTTTTTATATACAGAAAAGTACATTCCACTTTCCAATCCATATTAGATGGATGTCAACTCCAGCAGATAACCCCCACACTCACACCTGTTTCCCTATCTTTTTTTTATTTTCCACCCTTTCATTGACCATGAAGCTGGCGTGCAAATTGCTGGTTTCCTACTGCAGATCAGTAGCTTGTTATACAGCTGGTGGATTAGGGGAATCAGCTGGCTGGGAAGGGTGAGATTACTGCTTTGCTTCTGATCACAGTAGGAAAAAAAGACAGGATTCCCCAGGGCATTCCTTTTGCAGACATAGGTCCTATTTTTGAGTCCAAATAATACTTGGTGAATGCAACTGGGCTGTATTTCTGAAAGCACTGGATTATTCTCATCTCCCTAAAGAATTGTGATAAATATAATAATAATGAGGGTGCTCTTCTAGAGAGATTTCAGCTGGCCCTACATCTAACCCTCGTCAAATGGTAGTCCCCAGCATTTCCTGGTAGGAAGAACACTCAATTTCTTGAGTTCTATAGCCTGAGAAAAAAAGGTGCACAACTGTTTTTGTCCATCCAGGGGCTGCATTTTTAAGACTGGACCACAACAAAGAAGAGAGAGAGCAGAGAAATATCACCATTAATTGCATTAATTTTAATTAAAATTACATGGGATTGCTAAAATACACTTAATATGATTATTCCCTCTCTGTGCATAACTTGCTTATGGAATGAACAAGTTTTCTACAATACACTGACTCATAAACTAATCAGACTGGATATACACAATATGTTGACCCACCAAAAAACTGAACCTAACCAGCTTTAGTATATTATGTGAATGAAGTCGCTAAAGCTTTACCTAATCTAGTTATGTTTGCTATGTGGATGGAATTTCCACAGATGCCATAATATCCTCATTCCATCGTATTAAATATTATTAGTTATTTTGGGAATAAACTTCCAGGGCCACTTGTAATCCTGGGATCTTGGATTATGCACTTCTCATCTAGCACACAAACAGAAGCGATGGAAATTTAATGGCATTGTTCACTGAGCCCTTTTAAATAATTGAGCGCTACCCTGATCTGTTCGTGTTTTCCCAGTTCCTCATTCACCTAGGTGTTAGTGCAAATTCAGTGTCTTTAGTTCGAAGCTAATGACACTGATTTTATACACTTATAGGGACATAGAAATATACACTATGCTCGTATACTTCTATTTATTTATAAAAACACAAGTAGGGCAAACAGAGTGATGCCTGAAAAAAGCAGAGTTGATTGAAGTTGTTTTACTCCCTTCAACATACAATTGATGATGGTTCTGGGGAAGTAAATAAATGTATCTTGCATGCATGCATACACACACACCAAGTTTGGTTATTTTAAAGCAGACTCAAAAGGTAATTTATGCTGTATTTGGGGGGGGGGTGAGAGATGTGAGCAGGAGCAGGAAACAGAGTTGAACTATACAATGTACGTTTATCTAATCTGATGTAATCCCAGTCACGTTCAAGATTTCAAGTAAACAAGCTGGAGAATCGCAATGAATCAATGAAACACAATAAGGGTAGAGCTATTTCACAAAATGCTTTCTCCTCAAATTACTTTGTCAGTTTTACAAAATTGGGGCTGAAGCCCTCACACCAGCTCTCCACACTGGCTTCACCCTGCCCCCCCCCCCCCTTTTGGGCTGTGTCTACCTGGAACTTCTATTACCTTTTGGTCTTCCAAAACTGTCATCTCTCGCTTTCTGCTTTTTCAGCCTTTCCCCTTCCCTTCAGAGAGAGGATTCTCACCTGTCCAAAGCACCTCCCTCAAAATGCCCCAGAGATCTCCAAAGACTAGATAGTTATCCTATGCAGGAATGACCAACCAGTAGCCCTATAATTCAGTTTGGTGTCCTTCAGATGTTTTCAGCTTCAACTCTCACCAGCCTCAATTTTTATGATCACCAAGTCTAAATTCAAAACATTTGGAATACACCATGTTGTTCATCCTTGAAGTAATCCTTTTAACCCCTATTTGGTTGATTCCATTCAGGTTCATCATTGTTTTCTCAGCCACTTGTCTTGAGTATTATAGTATTCTCCCACAGAGTTAATTTTTTTCCCCAACCAAAAATTATGGATGATGATGGTGATGATGATGATGGCGATTATTTATAGAGGAGCATCAATATATATTGCTTTTGCCAGAAAATCAGAAGGCAGATTACCTTATCCCAAAGAACCTATAGTTGACACAGGGAAATAAGCAGATGGAAGGGGAATCAAGGAGCTACAGAGGTAGAAGATGCCTTGATTTCTGTTACTAACTGCAAAATTCATGGTGCCTCAGGACATAGCAGAAGATGGTGCGTAATTAAATATGATCTACCTGCTTTCCACCTTGTTCTCCTGATGATTTCTGCTCTTCATCTTATTTTCTATTCCTCCTTCATAACCCCTGCCAAGAGGTGATTTTTTATCTATTTGTTGCTTCAGCTGTTATTTTCTTGTTCCTTCTCTACTACAGAGGATGGTGGGGACACCCGTCGTGACTTCTCCCAAGGCTCGGACTCTAAGGAGTATTGCTTATCTGACCGTGATATTGTGGAGGTGGTTAGGACAGAATACGTCTACACCCGCCCACCTCCTTGGTCGGACGCCTTGCCCACTATCCATGTGGTCACTCCTACCTACAGCCGCCCAGTCCAAAAGGCAGAGCTGACACGGTTGTCCAATACTTTTTTGCATGTCCCAAACTTGCACTGGATCTTGGTGGAGGACTCTCAACGTCGAACTGCTCTTGTCACCCGGCTTTTGCGAGACACAGGGCTGAACTATACCCATCTCAATGTGGAGACCCCACGCAACTACAAGCTGAGAGGGGACATGCGGGACCCCCGGATTCCTCGGGGAACCATGCAAAGGAACCTGGCCCTAAGGTGGCTGAGGGAGACGTTTAATAGAAACAACAGCCAACCAGGGATTGTATACTTTGCAGATGATGATAACACCTACAGTCTGGAACTTTTTGAGGAGGTAAGATGCCCAGAGAGCTGCTTGGCCAGATAGGTTAGGCCGCTACTTCTGGCCTGCAGTGGGTCATGTCCCTCTGTTAGGAAGCCTTGGTGGACCTCTCCACCAATATGAGATGGTACAGAAGAGATTGAAGGTAAGTGAAAACGCAACACTCAGTGCTGGGTCATTAGTTGTATATGGATTATTTATATAGATGTAGGATTGGTTTTAATCTACAGAAATTGCCTCTTCCTCTATTCCCTTCACAAGCTCTGAGTTCTTAAAACCCTTTATGATGGATGAGGCCAGTGGGCATTTAATTTCGCATCCAATTTCCCAATATTGACAGCCAGATGCTCCAAAAAGGCTTGCAGATGGATTGAGACAAGAATAGCTTCTCTCTCTTTTTGACCTCTCACTATAAAAGAGATAATTATTGTTTTCTCCTTCTGTACAAAAAGTTGGGGTGGGGAATGAAAAATGGAAGAGATGAGATGAGATTAGATGAAACTGTCTTATTTCACAAGCCATACTGTTGGCCCTTGTCAAGTTTGCTTTGGAGTCTGGAAAATGAAGTCGAGCAGATATGAAGGGCATTAAGTTGGGGAAGTCTGCTCTAATCTTAATGACCATGGCAGCTGGCAATGGCTGGTTTCTCATCAAGGGATCTTCTGAAACCTTCCTTGATGCCAAGCACCTCTGCCTTTTGTGCACAGAAAACATGTGCTCTGCAAGTAAACTTAAGTCTCTTCTTTAAATAGTTCCCTTAAACCAAGGAGATTTGAAAATAAATGTTGATAATACAGGGAATGAAAGAGAGAGGGAAGTCATTTTTTTTTTAGGAAGGGCTCACAGATGGCATTTGAGATGTGTCCTGAAAAAACAGTCCAAGCATTAGAAGCAGCAAATGAGATGTTATTTATAGGGGAAGTAGGAAGTTCAGTATGCTAGATTTGAAATAATCTTTTAATAGGTTTCAATCTCTCTCGGGGATGTGCCAAGCACTAAAAAAATTGTCCACTTAGCTGCCTGCAACAGTAGGGTAGAATTCATTTTGACACGTTTTTCCTATAGATAATAATTTCATCACTGTCTATATTTACAATGCCTCATTACATATGGTGCTTTCCCTGTTATCTTCTCCTAATTGACAAACTGTTCCTATAAATTGTCCATGGATTTAAAAAAAAAAAATGCAAATCACCCTGCTTTCATTCTTTTGCACCTGCATTTCCCTAATGCAGATGTTTAAACTGTAAATTCCCCTGATGTAAACTGCTTTTTAAAATGCAACTACCACTATCGGTCCAGAACTTCCAGGAAGTACCTTTTTTCAGATTTTTTGGTTGGGGGGCCTGCTTTTTTGCTCAAATGCTAGCATTTTATGGGATGCTTGTGTTCCCCCCTTGTGAAGTTCTGTGGGAATCAAAGTCCCAAATTCACTTCCAGTGGGACCTGTTTCAATAGAAATGAGAACTGCACGCTTCCTTTATAAATAAAAGCTGACTCCAGAATTCAAATACGGCCTTGAAAGTTGCCTAAATATGAGGCCGGGTTTCTGTTTGGGCTTTTTATTTTTTTTTCTCCTTCTTCTTTAAGTCTTCTGGGAGGCACATGAAACAGCAATGCACCCCCACCCCTCCAATAATTGCTTATTTGCATATAAGTGCCATTAAAGAATACTAATGCTGATTCACTGCCAGCAGTGGGAAGGAGTTTTATACACCACAGAACATGACGCATTCCTTTCCCTGAGGATTTTTATAAATTAAGTCATTTTCAACAACGTTGTAAAGTTAATTAATTTAAATGCAGGCAAATGAAATGTTGCCTGTTGTCAAAGTATGGAGTCCAGGCTGAGTTTTTTAAAAATTGCCCAAAATGGCAGTCTGAAGACAGGAAAAGGAGCTGAGAGTGGGACAAAGAGATGTGGAACTGGCCAGGATACAATGCCAGGTTTAATTACTGGAAATAAGGCTAATTTACAGGAGCAGACATGGACACAGACATAATGCCAACAGCGCCACTCTTGTCATATGAGTGGTGTGCCATGTTCCACATGGCACAATCAGGACAAATAAAACACATTACGTTGAAATTACATTCAGATATGGTTTGTTAGGGGTATAGGCTTTATATGCTTTTTCTCTGGAGTCAAGGCAATGCACATTGTTCTTCTACAGTCCTTTCCTTGCAACAATAACCCTCTGATCTTGGTGAAAATCAGGGTGCTATCCTGGCTGAGAGTGGAGCTGATTGTCTGCCTCCCAGATCCTAATCAATGACAACAGAAGGGGGGAGGTGTTAAATGATTGTCTTCATATATTTAATATTTCCCCCTTTTGCCACATGAACAATTACAATTTGGGAGCAATTTCTAGAGGGGGCTGGAAAGCTGTTTCTGAAGATTTGCAGAATCTTGATTTAGAAGGCACCGGAGACAGATGGGAATTTTATAATATCAGGTCTGTTGACACCGATACAAAGGTTAAGCTTTCGATGTATTACTAGCTTAAGTGTTATTGGCACAGGCCAACCACACTTACCACTCGATTCACCAAAGTCAGAATTAAGAATAATGAGAATAATAGATGGAGCAGGAATCCTATGCAGATGTCAACGTACACACCAGAGTTGCTCTGTATGCAGCTTGTTTCTCCGGGCTGCAACGCTGGGATCCCAAGCTCATAGTTGTCAATTCCAACAGTAGGACAGGTAGACATCGTCTCCACTTTCTGACTGTCTTCCTGAATGAAGAGCAAGGAAGGGCTGCTATAGTGCAACTATATTAATCTATGTCCTTCTGCCCCCATGAGTGGCGAGAGCTGTTAGTAAGTGTATTATGCAAGAGGGCAAGTACCACAAGCTCTTTTGGTTTCCCTTGTAGTAATTAATCATGATGAAAGACAGGTCAAGAGAGAAGATGAGCAGAAAGGGATCCGCAGTGTCAGCAAACGCTTTTGTGGGGAGAGAGCTCCCACCTTGGGTGGAAGAAAGAAGAGCAAGCTGTCTCTAGCGATCCTGATGGAGAGATTCTGTTGAAGGGTTCTAGAGCAGCTGGGCGCTATTCCTCTCACACACCGCTGAATCCTTTCTTCATTTGCACATTTATACCTTTGTAGGAGTCAGTTCTGGGTAGCTCCTTCCCCTGCTTCTGCATGGGGACAAATTCAAGGAGTGTTGATGATGAGAACTGTAGCTGGTGGGGTTAGGATAACCACACAGTCCAGTCTTATATTGCTTCTGCCTGGATGTGGAAGAATACATCTTATTTATGCATTTGTTAGACTGATACCCTGCCTTTCATTCAAGAGCTCAAAGTGACATACATCATGCTAGGTCCTTCCATTTTTCATCACCGCCACAATACTTTAAGATAATTGGACTGCAAGAGAGTGGCTGGCCCAAAGGGAGATTCTGTGGCTGAAGGCAGACTAGAACCTGGCTTTTCCCTGTCCTAATCCAGGATCTTCACTGCTATACCACACTGACTCACCAATGCACATTTGAATAGTCTCCCATGTAAAGAAAGTCAACAGAAAAAAAGACTTTCTCTGCATATAAACCACTATTACTTCAAGAATATCCTCCTTCACTAGAAATCTTCAAGAAAGGCTAGATGGTCATCCGTCAGGGATACTCTAGTAGATCCTGCCCTGAGCAGAGTTCCACTAGATCACCAGTTCTCAACCATTTTGGCCTCAGGACCCCTTTACATTCTTAAAAATGATTGAGGACCCCAAAGAGCTTTG